GTCTTTTCCAGGGAGTCTTCTCTTCTCATGAGATGGCCAAAGTATTGGAGTCACAGCTTCAGGATCTGTCCTTCCAGTGAGCACTCAGGGTTGATTTCTTTTAGAATGGATGGGTTTGTGTTCTTTGCAGTCCAGGGAACTCTCAAGAGTCTCCCCCAGCACCACAATTCAAAAGCATCAAGTCTTCAGCGGTCAACCCTCTTTATGGTCCAGCTCTTAAAACATTACTATGTGTGAAATGCAACCAAATACCACTGTCCCTTTATCTTACAGCCTTGCACGTATGTTTTGCTATATAGTCGTTGTATTCTGACACTTACTTCTGACAAAGCAGACATGTTCCATGAAAGCTTACATTAAAATATAGCAGTTCATCTCCAAGGAACCATGATGTCTTTTTTTAAAAAACGGTTTTGCTTTGTTTTGTCTTTCTTATCGAAATACTTACCACAGAGTAAACCCTCCTTGAACACAGCAGCGCTCACTTCTAGGCACATACCACACGGAGCTTCTAGACATGTTTTTAAAGTCCTGATTCTCTCCGGCTATCTCTGCTGTGACTTCTGTCCTGTTTTTAAGAGAGCTCACAATCGACTCAAGCTCGCCAGCCTTCCAAGACCCGCACATCATCCCCATTAAATATAATTAGAGTTCTACTTTTGAATCAAGGCCAATTACATGCTATAATTAAATAGAAAGAGAGCTTTAGAGGTTAAGTTCTTATCTGCTTTCAGGGGTGATTGTTCCTATCGCACATATAATGATCCCGTGAGACAGTCCATTTAGGAAGAAGAGCGGCTTTTGTCTGGGTACAGCTGGCCTGATCATTTCTCTGCCACTCACAGCTATCGATTTTCTGGAGAAGATACTGACATTCAATCCCATGGACCGGCTGACTGCAGAGATAGGCCTGCAGCATCCTTATATGAGCCCATATTATTGTCCCGAGGATGAACCTGTTTCTCAGCATCCTTTCCGAATTGAGGACGAGATAGATGACATTTTACTGATGGAAGCCAGTCAAAGCCAGATGTTCAACTGGGACAGGTACGTTTATTCACTAGTCTGAATATGCAAGTAGATAAATAGGGACCACCTCGGTGGGAA